GAAGAAGAAGAAGAAGAAGAAGAAGAAGAAGAAGAAGGAGTTGTTTTCAAATCTCAACATTGAAGAAGCTCCATGGTTGGTTTCAAATCTCAGCATTGAAGAAGAAGGAGTTGTGATGGTTTCAAATCTCAGCATTGAAGAAGAAGCAGTTGTGATGGTTTCAAATCTCAGCATTGAAGAAGAAGGAGTTGTTTTCAAATCTCAACATTGAAGAAGAAGAAGAAGGAGTTGTTTTCAAATCTCAACATTGAAGAAGAAGAAGAAGAAGAAGAAGATGGTTTCAAATCTCAGCATTGAAGAAGAAGGAGTTGTTTTCAAATCTCAACATTGAAGAAGCACGCTTTTACTACAATACAAATCCATGGTAAGGAGAAGAAGAAGAAGAAGCCTTGCACGCTTTTACTACAATACAAAGAAGAAGAAGCTCTGCATGTGTTTACTACAATACAAATCCATGGTAAGAAGAAGAAGAAGAAGAAAAAGGGGAAGAAGAAGAAGAAGCCCTGCACGCTTTTACTACAATTAATCCATGGTAAAAAGAGGGAGAAGAAGAAGCCCTGCACACTTTTACTACAATACAAATCCACGGTTGGTTTCCAATCTCAGCATTGAAGGAGAAGAAGAAGAAGAATACGCTTTTACTACACTACAAATCCATGGTAGGTTTCCAATCTCAGCATTGAAGAAGAAGAAGAAGCATTGTACGCTCTTACTACAATACAAGAAGAAGAAGAAGAAGAAGAAGAAGAAGAAGAAGATTAAAAAATATAATTACAATGTTACAGAAGAAGTTGATTCAAAAATGTAATTACAATGTTAAACAAGATTTTAAAGAAGTTGATTAAAAAATATAATACAATGTTACACAAGATTTTAAAGAAGTTGATATTAAAGAATATAATTAAAATGTTGCACAAGATTTTAAATTTATAATTATAATTTGTTATTAAATAAATGGATGCATATAATATCACATAGAATAGAGATCCCTAAATAAAAGTATCAATCATTATTTAACGTAGATGCATATAATATTACAAATAAATATCTAATGAAAAAATTTATCATATAATAACATGTTATAATTGTAAATTTACAATTCCATATAAAATTGTTACCATATCATTTTTATTTCCCCATTGATGAGCATGTGATACTAGGTTGCTACTGAAACAAATGAAGTTGCTGTCTCTATAGATGTTTCAATAGATGTTTCAATAATTAAGTACTTAAATTTTTACATTATATATTTTAAGTTTGAATTTTAAAATTAATTAAAAGATATTTGAAAGAAAAAATATCCTACATTATACAACTCACCTTTTGATATAAATATTGAAGATGCTAAAGATGGAAGAATTGGAAAAGCAGATGATACCCTGACTACATCCCGATTGGTCGATGAGGAATTATATCAGTCAAATTCAGTGGACACACTAAATATGATTCCCTAAATCACATGCCCTTAATAATCACACAATAATTGAGAATGATCAGAAGAGTTATAACCAAAATCTACCCTGATTTAATGTATTTTCCTAACTTGACAGGGAATTTATGATACACCACATAAGCACACAAAATGCCAACTCACAACAGTGTCACTCCGTCTGGTAGGGCGCGGTAGGCCATTGGTACGTATGACCTGGCGCTCTGCATGCATACAATGTGGATTAAAATGTTAAGATTGTTTAAAATTATTGTGAGGTGTTATTGTTTAAAATTATTGTGAAGTGTTATATTTATAATTTTTTAAGTATTTTATTATTTCAAAAATTATATTATTATTTTATAATTATTTTGAAAAGGGTGTAATACTTTAATATGTAATGGTGACGGCGTGATCTAAGATGAAGGGGAGCCAAACTTGTGTCTGACGTTTATTCCCTCAGTCTACTTTAGTTGTATTAATTTGATTTTTAGGTAAAATTTGATTTAATTATTTTATATAACAAATATATTAAAATTAAATTCATTTTTCTTCCCGAACATAATGCTTATGAAACATTTTCATTTAGATAAAAAAAAATTTTCTATTATCATTAATTTGTTATATAAAATTAAAGTTAATTAACAAAAAATTAATGGAATAAGATAACTAAAAGGACAAGACTGAGTCACAGAGTTGTAAAGTTGTAAATATAGTGTTTGTTGAATGTTTTCACTTCGATCAAGAAATATTTTACTTGTCATTAATTTGTTATATAAAATCATCAAGGTAATTAATAAAGTTAATGGAGTAAGACAACTAACAAGGACAAGAGAGAGTAACACATAATTATAAAGTTTTAAACCTGTGTCTAAAATAAAATTTGGCCGTAGTCAATGAAAAATATATTTTTCTATGAAATTTTTGATGATTAGTGAATAATTATATTAATTGTATTTGTGGGGAAAAAAGCATAGAATAAAATGCATCTAGAAAATGTAATAAATTTGAAATTGGAATAGCAAATGACAATAAAATAAACATATTTGACTCAATAAAAAATTATGAGTTAGAAGTAAAGTTTTAATATTTAATGAAAACAATTGATAAGAAATTTAATAGAATTAAAGTATTATTATATGAAAAATTAACGTAATAATAAATTATTTGTATTGTGTTCACCAAAAAATTTGAAAAGGTTTTGATTTTTTTAATTGGTGTTTAACCTTTTTAGCGGATATTTTTAAGAGATTCATTTAGTATTTATTTGATATTTTAAAAAGTTTTTAAATGGCCTGTTAAGCATATATTGAGTTTTTGTTTTTTTTTTTTTTTGAAGATTCTAGCATTTTTTTTAAATATAGCATTGAATTTGAATTATTATATAATTAAAGTTATCAAATCAATTTAATATTAAAGTTGATAAATCAAGTGAATTGAAATATAAAAAGAAAAGTTTTTTTTTTTTTTTGCAGAATTGATTTGTGGAATTGAATTGAGGCCTTGATAAATAAAATTCTAATTACATTTATAAGTATTTATTAAAAATTTTAAAAGACCAATTACATATTTAGTCTAACCTATACTTTTAAGACATGAGTTAATAATGCAATAAATATATCTTTTTATAATTAATTCATATTAAAAATTGTAAAAAATGATATATATTTTAACATCATTGATACATGAATAATTTTAATTGATTAATTAATTAAATCAAAGTCAACATTTATACTTTTAATAAAAATTAATTATAAAAAGGTGCATTTATTGTACCTTTATTTTGTGTTCTAATTAAAAAAATCCTTATTTAAAATTTTAGAGAAATTTTAATAAAATATTAAGTATTTATTTAAAATTTATTAAAAATTTTCATTAAAATTATAATGCAATAAGACACTACTTTCCATTGACCTCGTTGGTTGCAATTTATTGTATTCGTGGAGTCGTCTTCAGTTGGAATGGTGGTAGTGCTTATGACGATGATGATGAGGCAGAGATGGGAAACGCGTGTGGGTGTATATGTATAATTGAAGTAGTAGAAGTTTCAATTGAAATAGAAATGTATTAAAAGAAAATATTATTATTAAAAATATAATTAAGTTTGGATTTTAAAAGATTCATTAAATATTTATTATTTGATGAAATTTTAAAAAAATTCATTAAGTATTTATTTAGTATTTATTAAGGATTTTTTAAAATATGTATTTTTTAGATTTTTAAAGATTTATTGAATATTTATTCAAAATTTATTGAAGAATTTAATAATTTTTATAATATAGTAAAATAATAAGATTTGAAAGATCAAAATTAACAATTGAAAACTTAATCTATATCTATATATATAATGCTACCCTATGCATTAAATAGGATGTGCATTTATATATATAATAATAATATATAATATATATTGATAATGATGCTTGTCAACTTTACCTCTCAAAAATTATGAGGTAAGACTTAATAAAACAATGCCGTTTTACCTGTTTAGATCTCATATCCATTGTTTTCATTTTATTTTTTTTTTCATGAAGTATAAGTCACAACACGAAAAAGCAATGAAACGGCAGCCCAAAGCACACGAAAAATTGAATCTTCCTCTCTGCTTCAAGTGCAGCCCCAAGCGCACAAAAAGCTAGACTTCCTCACTGAATCGATTTGAAGACTGGTGAAAAAGTCAAAAGAACCCGAACAATTAACTCTTTCTTGCACCCCTCAAGCACCCATAATTAATCAAAATTCAAAGTAAAAGAATAGTGAAATCTGAGAGGGGAAGAAAGAAATCAATTGAGGAAAATTGGAGATGTGAGAAATTAGGGCTGCCCATGAAAACAAGATGAAAAGGCGTTGCTCGAGAAAAAAAAAATGAAAAAAATGGATATGAGATGAGAACAGGTAAAATGACATCGTTTTATTAAGTCTTATTTCTTAATTTTTGGGCAGTAAGGTTGATGAGCATTATTCTTATATATATATATATTTATTATTTATTCTATAAATTATTTATTATATAATACTTATTTAATACAAATAATAAATTAAGAATAATTGATTTTTTAATTGAAAAATAATTTAATGAATAATATGTTAATTATTAATTATTAATATTAAAAAGATTAGTTCATGCTTTGGTAGATGAAAAGGCAAGACCATTTCCCTCTTCTTCTTCTTTTTTGTTTTAAAACTTGTTAATTAATAATAATTAAAACTTAAAAAGTAGAGAAGATAGAGGTTAGAAGATAGAAAGCTAAGGCGTTTAAGATATTTAAATGTTAAAAAGGACATGAGAATGGATACAAAGATCCGGGATTGAGAGATGAAGAGAAATATGGTATGCATTTATATATATAATAATATATAATATATATTTAT